GCCACCAGGGCCAATGAGCGCACCGTGCATCGCCGATGGTACGCGCAGGCGCACCGTTGTCTCGTCCATGAGGCGCTGGACCTGCGCAGTGAGACGCGCCTTGGCCTCGGCCACACACTCTTTGCGTCCTGTGAGCACGATGGGCACAGACTTGGCACGGCTCGTGTCGTCGGCATCGGGAAAGTCGACGCGGACGCCCAGTTCATCACGCAGTTTTGTGACCGCTGCGCCACCACGGCCAATCAGTCGCGGTACATAGACGCCGGGCACATTCAGCTCGTCCACAAAGCGGCTGTCGATGCTGTCCTGCTCAGCATCCGCGGCCATCTGCTGGAGTCGCGCCACTACGCGCTCCACCGCTGTCGGCGCACCGCGCACCACGACCGAGTCGTCGGTGAGCGCCTCGAGGCCAGGGGGGACCACACTGCGCCGGCCCAGCGTCACCTGCATACGGTCCTCGCCCATGAGGGCGTTGAGTACGGTGCGGTCCGGACCCAGAATGGCTTCGTGGTACTGCGCAGGGATGGAAATGTGCGCCGTTTGCAGGTCCGCAGCGGGCGCCGCCGCCGCTACCACGTCGCGCAGCACCGTCTCAAGCGCCGCGTCACGCTCGGCGGGTGCACCGCGGTGCACCAGCAAAATGTCCGAGCGACCCGAGTCCTCGGGTGGTACCAGCACATCCACGCCGCGGCCCTCGTACGTCTTGAGGTGCTGTCCGCGTTTGCCAGCGACCCATTCGTGCGCGAGCGGGTCAATGGTCGCCACACGCACGGCATCCGGCCCCACAGCGCGCACGAGCTGCTCGAGCTCGCGGTGCACACGCGCCACATCCTCGGCGCTTTCGCCCACAACTTCCACGTGGGCACGCCCGGTCTGGAGCGCCGTGGCAGCGGGCAGGAACACTTGCACACCGTCCATGCGGGGCGTGCGAGGGCCCAGCCACTGCACGAGGTGCTGCGCATGCTGTGCGTCTGCCTGGGGGTGCAAAGCGCCAAGATCGACCACCTTGATCGTCACAGCGTTGGCCCGCTCCAGCGCAGCGGTCAGCGCGAGCGGCAGCTGCGTCTGGGGGCCGCGAATCGTAACGACTTCCGACACATCGTGCACGGGCGGCAGCTCAATGTGGCACTGCGTCGCGGCGAGAATATCTGCGGCGTTATTGCCCACAAGGAACGCGTGCTGCCGCTTGGGAATAGTGAGCGAGAGCGTTTGGAAGGACGCACGCATGTCTCGCACCTGCGCCTCCATGGCGTCGACGACGGCGGCGACAGAGGCGCGCTCGCCTTGGACCAGGATGGGCGCATTACGCTGCTGTGGCACCTTGATCATCACTTCGCCACGGCCCTCGCTGGCAGCGAGTGCCTCGGCCCGCGCACCGCCAAGAAAAGGGTAGAACTCGGGCTCAATGTGCGAGAGGCGCTGCGAGATCTTGGAGGTGCGCTCCGCCACAATCGCTTGGATCAGGGCTTGTGCTTCGTCCACATGGATCTCATCGCCCTCGATCGTAATTTCCATCTGCTCGCCGAGCAGCGGGTCGCCGACTGCCTCGTCGGCTGCCTCCGCGCTGCGTGGCGGTACATGAATGCGCACGCCCGTCTGCTCCGTGATGCTCTTGATGTGCTTGCCGCCTGCACCAATCACATGCGCCCGAAGCGAGGCAGGTACCAGCACGGCGGTCGTGACGCGGCGCGCGAGCTGCACAGTCAGTTCCTTCTTGGCGAGCTGCACGGCAGCCTCGTTGGCGCCTTTGATGATAAAGGTCGTGTAGCCCGTTTTGCGCGTGGTGCTCGCCTCTATTTTGACCGTAGGGCACCTGGCCTGCACCTTGGGCAGCACGGTGTTCAGCTTGGCCAGCTGCTCCTCGGAGAGACGCAGCGAGATGGTGGCCTGGTGAATCACACGCTGGATGACCGGCACCGGACTCACCCATGCAGTGGGTGCAGCGCGAGGCACCTGCGCGGAGGAGGCGCCAAGCGTGGGAAACGCATCTTCCGACGACCTGGTGTTAAGAAGCCCCACTTACACATCGGGCCGCGCCTCACGCTGCGGCTTCGAAGGCGCGGGCGCTGCACTTGCGGGCTCGCCTAGGCTTGGGAACGGGTCCGCCATTGGCGTGCGCACGGAAGTAGAAGCTTCGCCAGCGTCTTGCATGGTGACTTGCTAGGGGGAGCCGCAGTCGAATGGACAAGACGTGCGAAGACCGGCCGCGTGGCGCCCGCCCGAACGGCGCCGCCCCAATGGACGGTGCCAGCGGGGCCCACATGGCTTTGTCAGCATGCAGGGGCCCCTGCTCTGCTCCTCAGCTGCGACCGCGGTGGATGCAGCGGCGGCCTGGAAAGCGCCGCAGGCCATGCTTTCCTACCTTGTACTGCTCTTGGCGCTATTTCTGTGGCCAGGAGTATATGCTGCGTCATCAATCAACTTTGAAAACCGGACCTTGTTTTCCGAAAACGCCGCCTACTGCTCGCCCCCGGGGTCCATTTTGTTGTCCGGACTGGATCTGCGCTATGATGGCAACAAAAAAGAGCTTAGCTTCTCGGTCGGGGTCTCTTCCAATGATAACGATAACAAATTGGACGTGTCCTTGACGCTGTACGTGTACGGTGAGAATTTTGTCGAGATGAATGTGAATTTGTGCTCGATCATGGATGGCGCTATTTGCCCGATCCCCTCGTACAATTTTACCGGCAGCGGCAGCATGATTGTGCCCAAGGACTTTTCAGACAATGTACCGGAGATTGCGTTTATCGTGCCGGACATTGAGGCGCTGGCTGTGCTCAAGCTCACGGAGCAAGATACAGGGAAACCAATGGGCTGTATGCAATTATCGCTCTTCAACAGTCGTACGGTTCTCCTGTCCGAAATTACATGGAGCACAGGTGCTTTTGCGATCGCGGCCACCGTCGCCTCGGCCGTAACGACCATCTGGACAGACTCGTTATCGGCGTTGCAATGGCGTGTCGTCGACGTTGTCACGACCATGCAAACGATTGCATGGGTATCGATGCTAACCAACATCATGCCGCGCGTTGTCCATGCCTTTTCCAAGTGCCTAGCATGGGCTGTCGGTCTCGTGAAGATTGAGCCCGTGCAGTCGTCGATTGACGCCACACGCCATTCCACGGATAGCGATGACGTACAGCTCATGTTCGGCGCACTGTTGGAGGCACAGTACAGTCGCCTCGCCAACTACTACCCTGCCGAGGTGATCAACACGAACCGGAGCGCCAAACTTGGCACGCTGAATGGTTTCCCAGAGCTCGACCGTTCGCTGCGCAAACGCAAACTATATGCGCCCAACACGGGCCCTGGTGGTGAAATGGACCCAGGCTCGACCCGCTCCAACGTCGTATGGGCGCTTCCCATTGTGCCGTTTAGCCAGGCAGGCGCCTTCTTTTACCTCGAGGCCCTGCCCATCTCCCCGTACGGTGCATTTCTTACCGTGGCCGTGTCGTGGCTGTTGGTCATGGCGGTGCTGCTCGCGTGCAGCTTCTTGCTTCTCCCATTTTGCATCGCCCGCTACGGTGCGCCACTGCCTCAAGCCGTGGAGCATGGCTATGTCCAGTGCCTGCGTCCTATGCTCTTGCGGTTGCTCGAGTGTGCGTCGCCGCCGCTCGTCACATTCGCGCTCTTCCAATTTGTGAATAGCAACGGCTGGGTCTCTCATCTCGGCGCGGCGCTCTTTTGCGTGGCTCTTGCGGCCATCTGGGTGATTGTCTGGCTCCAGCAGTGGGTGCAGGTGAGGCAGGAGGGTCCGCGCTCATTGTACTACAAGAGGACATCGCCGTACCGCGGTGATTCAGCGGCGATTCATATCGGCTCGCCTTCGCACCCGTACCGCCCGCGATACTGGTGGTTCTGGGCGGTGATTCTCCTGTGTGCCTTTTTGCGTGCATGCTTTGTGGCGATTCCGCAAAAGGCTGATTATGGCCTGCGACAGTCGATCGGCCTTTTGGTCGTCGATCTGCTGCTCCTTGTCGTGCTCATCGCATGTCGCCCAGCCTGCGACAAGAAAGGCAACATGGTGATGATCGTTCTCACAATCTTCCGCCTGCTTGCCTGGATCTTGTGCTTGGTGCTCACGACGAACATTAATATATGGGGCATTCCTCGTGCGGTCCTCGGCTTGGTCTTGCTCGCTGTGCTGGCACTGGCTATCCTCTTTATTTTCCTCGTGTTCCTATGGGATATATGTACCGCGCTCGTTTCGTCGCGCCAGCGGTGGACCAAGCGCTATGCCCCCGCCTTGTCGGACGAGAAAACCGACAAGGATTCACCCGCGAACAAGGACGTGTCCAGCGAGGAAGCGACGACCACGCCATAGGCCTGCATATCGGCCCAGGCCTGCTCGGTCGTCGACGCATCCACACCCGCGACGAAATTTTGCAGGACAATGGTGCGGAACCCAAACTTGGCGGCATCGATCGCCGTGGCCCGAACACAATAGTCAGTGGCCAAACCGCCTATCACCACAGTGTGGATGGAAGGCGAAGCACGATATAATAGCGCAGAGAGCTCAGTAAACTGTAGATATTGGTCAGCCGCAAACGCCGAGTAACAATCCCACCGGAGATCGCGACCCTTGTGCACATAGTGGACGGGCGTGCCGCGCGCTGCGCACGCATCGAGGGCTTGCTGCAGCGCCGGCTCTAGCGCAGCGCCGGGTGTGCCTTGCACGCAGTGGACGGGCCACATACGCTGGGAGAGTGTGCGTGCTTCAAAAGGATGCGGGATCTCTTTCAGCGTAAAGGGCTCGGCGCCATGCGTCGCCGCAAACGACACGTGGTTCGGGGGGTGATCGTCCTTGCTGGCCACAATGAGATCCCATGGGTGCTGCACTAGTTCACACAAGGGAGACAAGAGCGCGGGTGCGCCAGGAACGGCCACTGCATTATAAGACAACAGCTAGCACATACAAGAGCCACGCACAAAATCCTGCTGGACATCGATGAGCAACAACGCGACGCCCGGGGCCATGATCGGGGACAAAAATAAAAAAGCGACGAGAACAGGATTCGAACCTGTGCGGTCAGAGACCAAACGCTTGCCGCCGAATCGGCGTAGAATGCGACATTCTAGGCGTTCCCGATAACCACTCCGGCACCTCGCCTACATTGCGCAGACTTGTGGGCTCACGATATATAAACCCTATCATCCTACTTCAGGTCCAGGCGTTGTGCGGCTTTTTTCCCGTTCGCTACGCCCTCGCGTGCCGTCGTGAATGCGGTCGCCCACTCCGTGGATATGGATGGGAGCCTCCCGCCGCCGCGCCGGGAGGGCTTCGAGCCCAATTCCGTCCACATTAGATGCTTTGATACCCATGGCCTCGCAGGCGGGGCCGAGTCGGCGCATGTACCACCGCGAGAGCTATGGGATCCAGTCGTCTAGCTTTTTGTTTAATGCGGCTGCGTACGGGATCCCCAAGCAGCGTGCGGATCGCCCCCAGAGAAAGAGAGAATCGAGCCCATGGCACAAACGTATGATGCTGGCACCTCTGACAGATTTTCTCATGGGCATCCCGCCGCCGTCTGCCAGCCGAGGCGCCAAGACGGACGAGGCCGACGACGAACCACAGCTGCCCTCCTCGCTATCGTATTTGCATGGCAAAGGACTTCAATCAACGATCCGGTACCATGGCCGTATTGTCAAGACGCGCTTGCAAAGCAAGCAGGTCGGGGAGGATGCTTACTTTCTCAAGGACGATGCGCTAGGCATTGCGGATGGTGTCGGCGGATGGGCGTCCAACGCGCACGCAGATCCAGCTCTATTTTCACGTTTGCTCATGCACTTTTGCTACGACGAACTGAGCAAGCTGGACGAGTTGCAGCACCATGCATGGGCCGGTGACACGAGCGAGGCGCTCACAGAGTGGTTTAACTGCGACCCTGTCGAGATTATGCAGGTGGCGTGGGAGCGCTGTGTGCGCGCATCCAAGCGAGAAGGCATTCTCGGCAGTGCCACGGCCCTCCTCGCCGTACTGCGCGGGGACGAATTGCGTGTGGCCAACATGGGCGACTGTGTTCTTGTGCTGATCCGCAACAAGGAGATGATCTTTCGGAGCGCCGAGCAGCAGCACAGTTTCAATTACCCTGTGCAGCTCGGCATGATGGACGCCACCGTGGAGAGTGTGACTCTTGCGAGTGCACTGTGCCTGCATCGAGACGGCATGCTGCCCGACGGCGCCGACGACCTAGCTCTACCGGACGTGAACGAGAAAATGAGTCGATATATTCAATCGTACGACGCCAACCACGACAATCCGCACTACGATAGCCCACGTCACGACGCGGGTATTTGGGGCCTCAAAGTGCAGCCGGGCGACCTCGTAATTATGGCGAGCGATGGCCTCTTTGACAATCTGTTCGACGATGACATCCTCGAGACAGTGCTAAGCGTCATGGATAACCGGGGTAGCTCGGATCTAGAGCACGACCCTGACCTGCCTCATGCCATGGCGCGTGCGCTATGCGACAGGGCGCGCAATATCATGGAAGATCCGCGGGGTATCGTAAGCCCCTTTCAGCAGCATGCCAATGAGGAGGGTATCTACTATGTCGGTGGCAAGAACGACGACGTCACCGTGCTCATCGGGGTCGTCACCGAGCACGAGGCGCTCGGCACCGACCCGTACGACATGGAACGGCCACCGAACGACGCGTAGAAAGTGGCCTGGTAGGTTTGTGTTTTTTCCCATATATGTACCCAATAGCTTATGTAACATGTTTTCTGCACCGGCCCGCCAGCGCGCCGACAGCGCGGCCGCCGAGGATCGACGGTGCCTGCGAGCATGGCGTTGGACCCCAGCACGGCGGGGTCGCGCAGTAGAGAGGCGTCGTCGAGTCGACTAACTCTCGATGACCTGCGCAGCGCGCGCCTATCGCAGTGTAGGGATGAGCAGAAAACGCTATCACAGGCTCATCGCGCCGAGCTACGGCACCTACTCTTCCTCTTGCGCGCCAGCGAAGGTGATCCTGCGAGAGCAGCGCATGTACCGGAAGGACAGCTCACGGTAGTGGATGCAGAGGCAGAGGCATTCCTCGAGGCACACGCGCTGCCCGATGGCACCGCCAAGCTGGCCGCCCGCGTGGCGGCCGTGGCAGAGGCGCTGCGGGCGCAGGCGGCGACGCATCTTCGCCCGGACCGCGAAGGCGGCTTGGAAGCCCCATCCACGGATACGCGTGCCGTGCGTGCGCGAGCATCGCGCAGCACGACGCGCTTACCACCCTCGCCGATGCCATGGCCGGCGATGGAGTACGAGCAGACCCTACCCAGCCCGGTGGCACCTGTGGCACTACAGGCTCTCGCGCCCAATCCGCTCTCTGTAACGTATGCGTCTTCGCTGCGCCCACTGCCATCCGATCCCACGCGTCGGCTTACGGGCATTGGCATGGGTGGCGGCTCTATGCATCATCGCCCGCGTCGCGCGCCCAAAGGCGCCGTGACTGGCAAGCCAGGGGCCAAGACGGCAGCCGCGCCCGCGGACCTGACGCGCTGGAGTGTGCGTGTGCGCGCAGCATCCGCGGCAAGCCTAGTCCGCAAGGCGAACAAGTGCCTGTTGACGCGCGATTGGAAAGTGGCGTTCACTGAGCAAAAGTTTATCAAGGCCATGGCTCGCATTGACGAGCTCAAGCAGGCAGGGCACTGGAGCTTTCGGCAGCCCAAGCGCAGTCGGGGGCCTGTCGAGCGCAAGACGCATTGGGACTTTTTGCTAGAAGAGATGCGTTGGCTCCAAACCGATTTTCGTGAAGAGCGCAAATGGAAACTGGCCATGGCCTACGAACTGGTGCACCAGGTGGCCCAGTGGCATCGCTCCACGCCGGAAGAGCGTGCAAGGCTCTGTGTGCAGCGTGGCAGCCGACGCGCTTGGGCCATGGAATTGGACGAGGCAGCGCCCGAGGCGCTAGCATCTCCGCCGATGGAGACGGACGAGCCGGCAGCCAACGTCGAAGAAGAGGCCCCCTCGCCCAAGGCCGAGGCTGAGGTCGATGCTGATATGGACACGCATGCCGACAAGGACGACGATGCCGATGAACCGGTTACCAACACCAAACCGGCGCCGGACGAGATGGACGCAGAAGGCGAGGACGAGGAGCCTCGCGAGCCCACACTCACGATGAACGAGGCGGAAGCACCGGCCGAATCGGCGCCGCTACGTAAAGGAGCCGATCAGCAAGTGACGCTGGCTGACAAGCTGCCTCTGGCGCTCATGACAGCGATCCGCGCGCCCATCTTTGGGCTTGATACGACGGCTACGAGCGTGTCTCCCTGGGCGCTCTTGCAGAATTTGGATCCCCAGATGAGCAGTGCGCTGACGCAGTTGGATGGCACCTTGGATGCCAAGGACCTCGACTTTGGGCGCCTATTCCCTGAGCTTCCGCAGTATGCACCGCCCAACGCGACATCCGATGAAGGCGCCGCGCCCAAGCGGCGGGACGAGGGAGCAGGAGCATCGTCCTCGCGTCTCGTGCATGTATCGCGCCTGCTGGACGCCAAGCCCGCTTTGGTGAGCACGTTGGACCCTGCCAACCACCGCGCGAATGGCCAATGGCACAGTGTGAGTGACCACACCCTCGGGGCCATGGACTGGGTCGGCTCCGAGGCAACGAGCGGGACCACCTCGAGCAGCAACACGTCGCCTTGGTCTGTGCAAGCAGGTTCGCTCCTATTTGCGCGCAAGGCGGGCAAGCCGCCGCGCGAGTATACATCGCCGCTGGGCGCTCCTGTGGCGCCAGCGCACCCCGAAGTGCGCATTGCGCAATTGTCGTGGACCTCGGACGACGATGCGTTTGTGCAAGCGCTCGCCAAGCACTACCAGGAACACTGGGCCCTGGTCGCCGATATTTTCAACTCGGCTCGGTGGATTCGTGCATCGGAGCGCCGCACGGCGTGGGACTGCTACGAGCGGTGCAAGTGGCTCGCGAATGAGCAGCGGGAGCAGCGGCCGGAAGGCAAGACCGGACGCAAGCAGTACCGGCAACACCTACTCGAGATCATGCGCAAGACGGCCAAGCGGCGAGAACAGGCGCAGCGGCAGGCGGCGGCGGCTGCCGCCGCGAATGCCAACACGAAGCGTGCGGCGCTGGGCGCTCACGACACGCACGTACAGCCCAAGGCGATGGCGACGCCCACGCCCCAGGCCCTGAGCCTGCTCAAGGCCGAGCGCGACCAAGCGGCGCTGCGCCAGTTTTTTGAGCAGCAGCGGGCCTCGCAACTGGCGTTTGCGCAGCAGGCCCAACAGCAGCTATCGCAGACGCAGCCGGTGCCGCAATCGCAATCGCAATCGCAGCAGCAGCAGCAGCAGCAACGACGATCGATCGTGCAAGCGACGACCGACGACCAGCAGCGCAAGACGGCCCTAGCTGCGTCGCCATCGCCGGCCAAGTCGCCGGCCAACACGACGCCCCGTGCTGCGCCCGTGTCCCTGCCGCGACCAAGTCCATCAGCGCAAGGATCGCCGTCGCCTCTGCCCACCCAGCAGTACCTCGCCGCGCTCGCAGCGAACCAGGGGCTGGGCGGCGCAAAGCACGCGCCGAATGTGGCTATGGCCGGGGTCGGCATGTCCAATGCGTTGCCGTTTGTGCGAGCGGGCCAGCCCTTCTTCCCGCTAGACGTCGCCGGAGGCTCGGCGGCCAAATCGTCCAACCTGGCGGCCGCAGGGGGCAGTCCCAGCGCGCCAGCGGGCGCTGCACCCACGCCCGGCCCTGGCGCATCTGCGATGGCGCCGCGCCCGCCGCAGCCCATTGTGATCGCAGCGTCACCCCAAACGCAGGCCTTACGGATGGGTCGTGCGCCCGGTGCGATGGACGCGCGGCCGCTAGGCTTTTCCGAGGGTGGTGCCAACACAAACTCGCCCTCGTTGGCATTCTCGAGCCCCCCGGTGGGTCTGCAAGGCATGCCAAGTGGAACGGGTGCGCCGCCTGTCCGCCCAGGAGCACCGGCGATGGGCGCGCCTTTGGGCCATGGGGCGCCGCCGGCGGTAGGTGCGTCGGCCCCGCCAAATTTGCATGCGCTGCAGCAGCAGCTGGCCATGACGCTAGCGGCGTCTCACCTGAGTCAGGAGCAGATCAATGGACTGGCTGTGCAGCTCTACAAACAGGCCCAAGCGCAGCA